ACTATCTGCAGTCCAGGTAGCAAGGCAAGGGCTTTCTGGCACTTCACTGAGCTGAGGCCAAAGGCTTATTTTCGAGACTGAAAACTACACAAGATACAAAAGGCAAGGAACAAAGCAAACACCAGTGCCTCACACTGCCCCAGGCTCAACCCTGACTGAAGGAAATGGGAAGAGAACTTTTTGTAGGAGGGGCAGCTGCATGGTGAAATGGCTTTAAGAAGCAGTAAGTGGCCTAAATCATCGGCAACTCTCTGCACTCAACAACCTGAAGCAAACTTTATTGAGAATGTCAGATTTGTGTATTTTTTTGTTAACATTATCTCTGAAAGACTCGGGCAAATTCCTGGGATGCTAAACTATGTTCACTGATTTCACATGCTTATAAACACTCCACTAGAGAGAAATGTAGCAGTAAGTACCAAGATAAAGCCAGCGCTCTCTTGTCAAAGGGTGGAGTGCAAAATCTATTTCCTTCCAGTTGAAAAAGCACATTCCTCATCAGTGCTTGTTCACAGCATATGACCGAATCAATTGTTTGGTGTCACAAACACTGGAAACAGCATACAGTAATGCAGCTAGTCTTTGTGAAGACACGAGGCTGAATATTCCTAAGAGCCAGGATGGGCTCTGCGGACTCAAAGACATCACATTACAATCTTTCCACGTCTGGCAAAGCTTCAGAGTAGCCTTGGCTGCTCCAATTTAACCATCTGGATGCAACTTAGCTCTCACATGGCTCCCTGCAGGCCTACTGTAATTACTGCTACTTTGCCGGTGCCCCACAAATGGTCTGTTTGATCAGTGGAAGACCACAGCTCATGTAAGTCACAAGGAAATGAAGAGATACTTACTGCACACCTGCTGAGGACATAAGCGCCAGCTCCCAGTCCAATCCCAATGAAGCTTTTCAGGCTGAAATATAGGCATTTCACAATCAGCAAGGCTAACTTAAGCTCACAGCTGAAGCATCCCTAGAGGCAAAGCGTTTCCCCTCTCTGCATCCAGCTGTTCACTTATGGTTCATTGTCAAAACAATCCAGCAATGATGCAGCAGCCATAAATTTTCTCATGTGGCAGACAATGGTCCCAACATAAGAACCAAACAGGGTTACACAGGTTAGGAGATGCTCAGGCCTCTTGGGACAACTCAGTGAGCATATCAGATGTTGCAACCAGAGATAGAGGTAGGTGCTGGAATGGCTGTATCCAGCTGGCTCACCCCATTTCCTTTCAGAGACTTACTTCAGGTGCGTCAGAACAGCAGGCAGCATTTCAGCCAGTTCATCCATACTGGGATACTGGTACCTGAAAACCAAGAGAAACTGAATTCAAAGCACCTCCAAATACAGCTCGACAGAGGCTACCTTCCAGTTCCACCCAAGGTAGGAGAGACAAGGAACATCTTGACAGGCATGTGCACAGGTGATTATTTTGCAATGACACTGTGTATTCCAGCTAACTCCATGGATCCCATCCCTCAGAGCAAGACTAACACAGAGCTGTGGTTTTTTGGGCAGTCAGACTTCTGTGGGAGGATGGACAGATGGAGCAAGAATGCCAGCTACACTGCAGTGTGCTGGGCTCACGCTCAAGTTAGAAAGCTGGTACCAGCACTCACCACTAATGAGGGCTTTACCCATGCCTCAGTAACAGGAAAGTTCCCTGAATGCCCCTTGGGAAGCCTCCTCATTTTCCCATTTCCTCTGCTCCTGAAAGCTGTCTCCCACTACACTCAGTTGGCTTAAACTGGGGGCTACCTCAGTCCGGACTGCAGTCCAGACCACATCTGGAACAACAAGGGTCTCTGCAGAGCTCTTACCCAGATGGGAATGGGGGAGCTCCTTCCTGCTGGCCTGGTGCATCCACGTGGCACACAGCAAAATGCTGAGTGATCTCTTGCATGTCTTCGAAGTTAAAGAATGCATTAAAACAGGATTTGTCTACAACAGCCAAAAAAAGAAATGAGATGTTTCCTGAAGTGTTATTGTGATCCACCCTCCAAACACCATGGCACACACCTGCATGAGCCCACCCTCCTTGCTGAGTCTGCGGAGCAGTGGATGCTGGGTGATGCATGCTGCTGTGCCCCACTGATTGCAACGCAGCAGCGAGTCCCTAGCAAAGTAACTGCCATGACTGGAGGGAAGGCAGACAAATGACACCCCAGCATGCATGGTCAGGAAAATAGGGCCTTGCAGCACTTGGGTACTCACAGCACATACTGAGGAGCACCTGTGTGAACGTAACAGTACATGTTGGGTGGGAAGACATGTGGAAAGAGCAACTGAGCCCGCTACAAACATTACACTACTTCTGCAGCAGTAAAAGGACTTGTTCACCTGCCCAGCATCCAGGGAATGGATGCCTTGTGGCAGCTCTATCACACAATGCAACGACAGCTAGAGCAGTATAGTGTGGTGGGTGGACCTATTTCCACATGCTCTCTCTCCTGCAGACTTTTATCTTTTCACCCTGGAATGACCTGTCCCATCTCAGCTCCAGGTCTATCCCGCACACTCAAAAGCAAATACCACGAACAACCACTTTTTCAGGGTCTTGGGAATGCAAGGGCTTACGGTTGAGGCCAATGTCATGGTATGTGAGGATGACAGGTCTGTTCCCCCTGGGTGTGCCCCGCATGGTGACATGGACCACTCCGAAAGCTGTCTCAATGTCATGTTCCTGCAGAGAGAGAAGAAGGAGCCTCAGTGTTACGTGTGCTGCCTGCGCTACAAGGAACCCTAACTGAGGGCCAGCAGCAAGGGTCTCATCCACACTTTAACACTGCTCTCCTATCCACAGCTGGTGGCTCAGTACAGCTCTTGCAATCTGCAACCCTGTCAAATCTCTCTCCAACCACTGCCAAAAGCAGGTTGCTTTCGTACAGATGTGTGAAGGGTTTGGGGCTGTGTCTTCCTGTGACCAAGATCTCATTTCGATGGCCTTTAGTGACGTTGCTGCACCGTAGCAGAAGCCGGGTGTCATGTGTCCATCTGTCTCTAGGGGTTCATGGCATCACGAATGCAGCTCCATTCCCACAGCCAAGCCCTCGCTCCCCAGCTGGCATCCCTCTCCCTCCAATCCACCAGCCCAGAAGTCTCTTTTCAATGTGTCTCCAACCCACACCCCTGGAAATGTCCTGTCCGTGGGCAAGCTGATGCGAGGGGACACAGCAATGTCCAAGAGGCTGGCAGCAGCCCCAGCCCCTGGGGACCATGTACCAGAGTGTTTTGGAAACAGCATGACAACATAGAGCAGGCAGATGGCTGGGACATCAAAGAGACCCAAGCTCCGCAGATCTGATCACTGGCTGCCTGGGAAGGTTGTACCCATCCACAGAGGAGCGGGTGGCAGCTTTTCCCTTCAACAGCATTAAAATGAAAGATGCAGATCCACATGTACTTGCTTTCCTGGGCTGACTGTCTACTGCAGACCCACCTTGACCATTTGGCCAAGAGCCCATCAGATCTTGACCACACTGCTGCATAAATGTTCGCTGCAGCTTGGCCCACAAGCCCTGACTTGTCACCCCAGTGAAGGTTGAGCACTGTGCCTTAACCAAACACTTTTTTTCCTGCTAGCAGGCTTGGTAATGTGACAGTAAAACACCCTTAGGGTCCTCCAGCAGCTGGCACAGATACAGGAGGTTATGCTTGTTTCCAGCTGGGTATCAGTGGAGCAGTTTCATGACCTGTTTCATGATTAGTTGCCAGCAAAACTATGTGCCTTTTCCCAAGGAAAATATTGAGGGCTTTTTTGCACTGTGCCTTGCATAAAAGAGCAAGAGGACCATGAGGCCTTTGGGTACCTCTCCAATACTTGTCCAGTGCAGAAACAGAAGCCAAACCTCACGATGACAAACACAGAAGTGCGCACGAAGTTGTCTGAGTTTAACTGAGATAGCTGCAAATGCATTTAGACAAACACTGATCTGGGATAACTACGGACTTTGGAAAAGCTGCGGAGATGGCAGTATGGCTGGGTACACAACGTCATCTGTAAGTCCTTTCTCTCATCTACAGAAATCAAAGGAGAGACATGCTCTGACTTACAGACACTGTAAAAAGCACCAATTATTTTCTTGATATTAAAAAAAAATCTGCTTAGGGAATAGCCTCATGGTTCAGCCTGAAGACAAGACATTACAACCTCAAAAATATTTTTTACTAGTTTACACAAAGTATGTGAATTTTTTTTTTAAACAGTAATTTCTAATAACCTGAAAGTCATTAGACCAAATACAGGACAGGTGAGAGTACCTGGCTTGCAGCACATCAGAAATTCATCTCACCCTTCCTTTCTGGGCACTCCCAAGGGCTGCCTGTGGGCCCGACTGATTTAGTTCTTGCAGTGAAGGATCCTCCTCCCCCAAGCTGTACTTCTTTTTGGCGGCCCCAAAGCCTCCCCTTTCTCCCAGAAGCATGGCAACAGGAGCAAGCTGCCACAGCCAAATCACCCACGGTAGCCTGACGCCTTCTCCAGCTTGGCTTTGAAGGATAAAAAGACACCTCTGACTGCCCTCGTCCTCAGAAAGGGGTTGTGTTTTATTTGCACGCAGCTGTTGCATTGTGCACGTGGAGAAGTTGGAGTACCTACAAAGCAGCAGTGACCGGCCTGCACTAGATGCAGGCAAGAGAATAAAGCAGGTGAAGTTATCCAGCCTGATGCTCACCTGGCTGCCTTTTCTTTAGGAGGGAGCTATGCGCCAAGGCATCCTGCGCAGGTAGGAAATGACTAGTCCATGTGTGCAAAGCGAGTCTGGGTCCATGCAGCAGGACTGCCTGCCCTTGCAGCAAGGGTGCACAAGGAAGTCCAGGGTGCAGCCTGTGTCTCTGGGAAACCGCCAGGCTCTGCCCCTTGCCAGTCTTCTCGGCTCTCTGTGCTGCTCTGCTAAGCTGGGCAAAGTCCTGTTTTGTACTCCAGTGGGATATGTGCAGCCATAGCAGTGGCCCTCATTTTAGTGTTCTCCAAGTTCACAGGTGTTAACGAGTCCTTTAACAAAACTGGCAACTTTTGGACGAGGCCAAGGGTGGTGACTGGCAGTGCACGCAGCTGAAATGGCGAAGCGCAGCAAACTCACAGAAGAGTCCAGCAAGTGCCAAAGCAGCCAGAGCTTGCAACCCCCGGCTGCACTTCCCTATGCATCTGAGCTAGCCAAGTGGCTGACAGCCATTAAAAGCAGGTCTCTCTGCCAGCTTTGGCAGTTGTTGGCCTCTTCCATAAGCAGCTTTAACTCACTGACCTTGCAGGAAACTATCCAGCTGCCTTTTATTTTTTTTCAGTCTTACTTTGTTAGATTTCTGCCAGGTCAATGAGTTAAGAAGCTCACAGAGAGATCTGGCAAATGCTGGTTCTGGCTCAGAGCCCAACCGGAGTGCATGGGGTGGTAGAAGAAATAACCCTGCCCTGAGCATGAGGCCGGTTAAACTGACTCATGCCTCTTGAGACTGCACCTCCAGAAGACTAGGGAGGGTTTTATAAGCAGCAGCAAAAGGTCAACTATCAAACTGAAGCACAAAACCCAAACTGAGCCAACAGTGAAAAAAGCACAGAAATCAACAAAAGAGCTGACAATCTTAAAAGCAGTCAGCAAGACAGTGTCTTTTCTGGAATTACATTCAAACTTACTGCTAAGGTCACACATGCTTCCACTAGGTAGAATACTGGACAAGGTACCGGAAACAGAAACACCCACCTCTCTTTAGAGCTTTTGTTCAAGCACCTCAATGTGCTTCATATTGCAACACCCTGCATTTTTGTCTTCCGAAGTTGAGCTTGGGTCTTAGGTCTCTAGTAGGGAAGGAAAAGAGTTTCCTTGAGCTAAAAATCAATCCTTGCTCTCCCACTTACTTTGATTTTGCAGATCGTGTAAACTGCGATTTGGGGAAATGAGATAGTTTGTTGAGAAGAGGTTTTTCATGTCACCACCAGGCACCAGCCCAATCTGAAGGGTACTCACTTTGCTACTCCTTCAATCACATTAGTGATTCAAATACAGAGAACGTCCACTGAAGATGGAAACAACTTGAGAAATCCCATCTTTAACAAATCTCAGCAAGCAGCACTTCAAAAAATTTAAGACGATAAATCTGCAAACTTCTTACTCTGCTCTGTACAGTGACAGAGCCTCAGACTGGGAGTGCTTAAGGTTATTTCTTTTTTCTCTTGCTAGTTCCCAGGCAAGGTGGAAATCCTCCTCCTGGGAAGCAGCTTCCCTCCTCTGCTTCCTCTGGTTAAAGCCTTTTACTTTTTTAAGGCTTTTTCCAAACTCTACAAAGCAAGTAACAGACACTACATTCAAGATAAGGGTTTCTACATTCACTTTTTTAGCTACACATTACAACATTGTGCTGACCTCCTTTTCAAGATTACCTGGAGAGATAAGACTGAGTTTTACCCCTAGCTTCCCCGCAGTTACTTCTATGTCCATTTTTCCAGTGAATTTTATTTTCTCTGCAACTTTGCCCTGTATCTTGACCTATGATTGCAAAGCACAAAAACATTTTCAGACGCCACACAATTACACCACACATGACCTCCCTGTCACCTGCTTTTCTCCAACAGCTCTCAAAGCCAAAGGACAGCATGAGGCAGAGCTTAGGTATCATGCTTAAGATGGCAACGACAGTCTCTACGCTTATAAGATAAAACTGCTACCTTGAATTGGCCAAAAAAAGGTTATTATTTCATTACATCATTACTGGTTTATTACTTTTCCAAACATGGAGCAGAATAATCCAGTTACAACGGGTACTAGAGTAGTTGGTGAGAGAACAGCAGCTTCACAGGCTGCACTCTCTGCCCTTGCCAAACATGCTTTCTTCACATCCTTCTTGTAGACACGCCTTCCCTGCCAGCCACCCAGCGAGATGTCCTGCCTATGTCACACTGCCTCCATAACTGCTGCCCACCTGCAATTCTGCATATTCTCTCCTAATATTTGCCTATTGCCGTGTAGAAATGTAGTGTTGGAAAGTATCAGACACTTGTCTTTACTTCTCAGACACTGGCATGCTTTGTTTCAGGCCAGCTTTGACACATTGCAGCAATGTAGCTTGAACGGAGATTCAAGGAATGTCACCTTGCAGCTGTCTAACTCCAGCTAGATCTGGTCCATAGTGCAGGGAAGCAGTGATAGGAGAAGGTAGGTGGAACAGATGTGGCCAGGAGACGGCCAGATTTTAACAAATGTGCAGTCTGCAAAATAACGGAGATGAATGCGAGAGAAGATGATGATCTGCAGTTGTGTTCTGAAAAAACACAACTTGATAAAATTTAATTTTCGCTTAGGGACTGGAAACTTTATCAGAGGTTTCTCTGAAGAGATTTTATCTTCTGCCTTTATTCGTACAGTAGGTAAAAAGTAAACAGCAGCTGCAGACAACCCGCTGTAAATGGGAAGTCAACAGCAGAGGCAGCCTCGCTCTCAGCAGCCTGCTCTCGCTGGCCGCAGGCGCAAGGCTTGTGAGGCACACATGCCGAACAGCAGCGTGCTGGTGGGGAGACAGAGCAGAGACACGAGTCCTGTGCAGGCAGCTACTATGGATCAACTCAAATCAGCTGGGAAACACTGCTTCAAAGACCAGCAGTTCCCTCGGGGCATGGATGAGAAGAGCAATGATTGAGGAGGATCAGGAGGCATGGAGACCAGCTGTAGCTGGTCCAGCCAGCCTCCTAGTCTG